CCGATTCGTAACCACTACGCTACCAGAGCTCCTTGCCATCAGATGGTAGAGAGACCAAAAAGACGATGCTGCAGTCTGCGTATCTAGGGGAGCCACAGAACAGGCGCTGGGCCCGGGAGGGGGCTGGAGAAGCAGGCTCAGAGGGGACCACAGCAGGCCACACATAGAACACACATGAACATACTGCCTGTTACTGCTTGTTGGATTTATCTGGGGTGTGCTCTGTGGCAGAACCAAGGCTCATTTCCTGTCTGAGGTACTTGTAGCAACTCCTCACCCACTGCCCAAGCCTTTACACAGGGACCCTCTCTGCTCTCATAGGTTGCAGGGATGCTTGATGTGAATCAAGACTTTGGCCTGAGCACCCTGGAGCCCGGCGAGTTCATGGACAAAGCTCCCTTCGACGGCATTCTGGGACTGGCCTTCCCCTCTATTGGCTTCAAAAAGACCACCCCCGTTTTTGACAACCTGTGGAAACAGGGTCTTATTTCTCAGAACCTGTTTGCCTTCTACTTGACTGGGTAAGTCTGGGCTAGAATAACAAGAATGAAAACAACAACAACAATAAGACAGTGGCCATTGAATTGATTCTTGGTAGAACTGCACCCCATAGGGCTTTCAATGGCTGATTTTTCAGAACGAGTTTGCCAGACCTTTCTTCTGAGGTGCCCCTGGGTGAATTCAAACCTCATATCTTTTAGTTAGCAGCTACAGACTTGAGGGCTCCTAAGTGTGTTCTAGACAAGCCACATCTCCAATGAGGTTACTGGAAAATATGAAAATTATAATCTAGAAGTTTCATTAGAGATTGTCTAGTTCCCCAAACCCACTGCCATTGAGCTGATTCTGGCTCCGAGGTCCCCTACATAGGGTTTCTGAGCCTGTCAATCTTTACAGGAAGAAACAGCCTCATCTTAGCCCCACGGATCTGCTGGGGGTTTGAACTGCTGACTTTGCGGTTAGAGACCCAGCATCTAACCCATAGCACCACTAGGGCTCCTTAGTCTAGTCCAGGGGTTGGTAAACCACGCCCCCACCACCACCACCAAATCCAGCCTATGGAATTTTTGTGCATAAATACGGAAGCACAGCTAGGCTCATTCATTCCCACATTACCGGTGGCTGTTTGTGCATGACAACAACAGTGTTCTGTAGAGCTCCCATAGCCCACACCACCTAAACTGTGGACTATTTGACGCTCTACAGACAGGAGACCACTCTTTTCCTTATTGGCAGGAAAAGCTGAAGTCCTCTGACGGCCAAGGGTCGGGGGAGGGTCAGGGGAGAGGGGAGAAACGAACAGAAAGGACCCTGTGTGCTTAGCCAAAGGTTGAGGTGGCGCCCACAGGTCTACGTAGGAGGCAGGAAGGTGTGGTAGCTAAGACTCTGGGCTTGGAAGGGAGCCTGAGTTCAAACCCCAGTTCCGTAGCATGAACTTTAATGATTTAACTTCTCTGAGCTTCAGGGAGGATCCCTGGTGATGCTGTGATTAAGCACTCTGCTGCTAGCCAAAAGGTTGGTGGTTCAAACCCACCAGCTACTACATCAGCAGAAAGACATGACCGTCTGTTTCCATAAAGATACACAGCCTTGAAAACCCCATGGTTCCTCCTTCCTGTAAGGTCACACGAAGGTAAAGGGTGAAGCCTCAGGAAGTATGAAACCTCAAGAATAAGTGCACCCAATCAAAGGAGATGATTCGACAAATAATGTGCTGAGCACCAATCTGTGCCCTGTATACATGAAGGAGATAGAGATGGGAGATAGAAGGCAGACAAGAAATACACAAATTAACATATGAAAGATCCCATAGTCCTAAGGGTGACAGACCAGAGGAGATGGAGGTCTGCCCTGTGAATCGACTTGGGGCCAGCCCTCTTCTGAAGCGTGGGGATGGTTGAGCCCAGATCTGAAGCCAGACATTCCAGTTGACATCTCAGCTCCCTCTTTCATTGACCGACCTTGGGCAGGTACCTAACTCCATCCACCAAGTGGGGATCACAGCAGTGCCTGTCCCACAGGTGTGCTGGAGCTAGGCTGCGTCAGCAATGTCAGAATGGTGCCTGGCATCAGCCCCTCACGATGAACCTTCCTCCTTCTCTTCCCCCTTCAGCAAGGAAGACAACAGCAGCGTGGTGATGTTTGGTGGTGTGGACCCCTCCTACTACACAGGGAATCTTCAATGGATCCCACTGACCAAGACCACCTACTGGCAGTTCACCATTGACAGGTAAGGTCCTCCCTCTGATTTCTGTGTCATGCGATGCCCCCACATAGACACACACAACCACACACAGGCATAATATACACACCATCACACACAAAGAGACACAGACATACACACACAGTCACACACAGAGACACAGGTATATACACACCATCACACACACAACCACACACAGGCATACACACGCCATCACACACACACAGAGACACAGACATACACACAACCACATACCATGATACACATGATCACACACAGGCACAATCACACAGATACACATACAGACATACACGGTCACCCTCACACACACACATCATGGTGACCCCTCCTGACAGCATCTTGAAGCAGAAGAGAAGAGGGTGGGGAGGGAGGCAGACCAGCCTGCAGAAGTGGAAATCACATCTGGCAAGAGTTAAGAGTTGCAGGCGGTGAGGGGAAACTGCCTGCCGGATGAAGAGGGTGGGAAGCAGGGTCTAAGGACCTGAGCATGAAGGTGAAAGAGGAAGCAGACAGAACTGTACCCATCAGAACAGGCCTTTGAGAGGAACAGATTTTGTGACAATAGCTAAAAATGTCCTCTGGGGGTGTCCATAGTGGATTGCCTAATCCCTGGCTCCTAGAGAGCTGGACTCCCTTCCTATCCCCACCCGCACAGAGCTGGGGGCTGCTGGGGAGACTGCCTCTTCCACCCTGAGCTCATAGCTCCCCTCCATCCACTCTGAGCCCAGGCGGTCCTACAGCTTGACTCCATGAAGCCCACAGTTGGTCAGACCCAGGAGCCAGTTTTCTGGTTGTCCTCACTCATTCCTGCACAAACGTGTTATAAATACCCTTGAGGGAGGCACAGAGCATACAGGCTTCCTCGTGGAGAGGGGCACATGTCCAAGACACAGCCGGTCACCTCAATCATCCAGGGGCCTGGGTGTGATGGGGGCACCCAGGAGAGCAGCCTGAAACAGTGGGGGTGGGGGGAGACTGCCCCAATAATGTGACAATCCAGCAGAAACCTGGGGGGTGAGGAGAAATTAGCCACACAAAGAGGGGTGGGCAGGGGCATCAGCACCTGCAAGAACTGGAAGGTCAGAAAAGGTCAGTGTGATCCCAACAATAGGAAAGAGAGAGGGTGAGTTGCACTGAAGGGAAGCAGCGGGGAGGAAATAGGGATCTGGTGGGCTGTGCAGTGACCCTGGTGTTTGCTTTGTCCCCCTCTCTCAGCATCTCCATGAACAAAAGGATCATTGGCTGCCAAGGTGGCTGCCAGGGCATTTTGGATTCTGGAACGTCTTTGTTGGTTGGACCAGAATATACTGTCCTCAACATCCAGAGGGTCATCAACGCCAGGACCTCTTATGGTGGCGAGGTACTGGGTCATTCCAGAATGTCACTCTTGGGGTTGTCCACACATGGAGGGATCCATTGGGCCAAACTTCTCCCTCCCTCCTTTCTCTGACAGTACATCATGAACTGCAACGCGATGACAACTCTCCCTGATATCATCTTCACCATCAACGGAGTTGACTACCCAGTGCCAGCCACAGCCTACATCCGAAAGGTGAGAGGCTGATCCTCAAGTCCTAGGATTTGCCAGAATTGTTAGACCAAGACTGGGAGGGAGACGCCCCCTGTAGGCCAAGTGTGACATTGCAGGTTAGTCAGGCCCACCTGGTTTAGCTGGTCCCTCCCACAAAACAAACACCTTGATAGCAAGGAGGAGCCAGGGACTTCATCACTCTCAGGTAAATGCTGAGTAGGCACACCATGTTAGACACAGTGCTAGGCATAATGAGGAGGGGGCACTAAGGGTCCAGCCCCCATGAATTTGCAGTTCAACCAGGAAGCTCAGAGACATGAACACAGAAAGTCAGCTGTAACCATTCTTAAATGGACCAAAGGAATAGAGAGAGTTGGCCAAGGACAGATCTGATGTATTGTCCCACCATGACTATGAACAGTGCCTTCTTCCTAGCTCAGAATCGCCCTGGGTTGGGTTCTACACTGAATCCTTGCTAAGCCTCACCTCCCTTCTCTGAAGAATGGTGTAACCGCCCCTCCCTTTGTAGGGAAGTTAGGGATTGGTGTGAATAAAGGACACACAGGACCCTACAGCACCTGACACATCACTGATGCTCAGTAAATGGGATTTCAAAGGAGGCTGGATGGGGTCAAAGGCTTGGAGGAAGAGAGGGCCTTTAAACAATTCTAGGCTTCATCAACCAGCCTGAAGGCACTTAACAACAAGAGGCTTCATTAAGGAGTCTCTGGGTGGTGTAAATGGTTAAGAATTCCGCTACTAATCAAAAGATCCGGCACTTTGAATCCACCAAAAAGGTGCCTTCCTCAGAAGAAGGCCTGCCAACCCACTTCCAGAAGGTAGCAGCCATTGAGAACCCCATGGAGAGCAGATTTATTCTAAAGCATACGGGGTGGCCATGAGGCTGAACCAACTGAAAGGCAATTGCTTGATTCTAAGCTTAATTTCGTGGTGCTGCTGTCCCCCAGCCTCACAGAGAAAACTTCGTCCATGGAAATGTAGGCTCTGGATTGGGCTTCAGGCAAACGCTCCCCAGTCATACACACACACGTGCGCGCGCACACTGTTGGGCAATACAGCCGCCCAAGCAGACAAGTTGACAGGTCAGAGCAGCGTGTGGTGAAGGCCACAGTCTCCCAAAGTACCACAGGACATCACCTACCCAGCCTGGAGGGGCTGAGAAAGGCAGACATAACCCAGAAAGGCTTGCTCCCTTGGGTTTCAAATGCTGTAACTCTTTAGTGGCGCAGACAACCTCATCTTTCTACCGTGTGTCACAGCGAGGAGGAGGGAAATCACACTGGGAGGCTTCTGCTGAGATCCTGGATACTGAACGGGGCGTGGGTGGCACGTTCAGCTGACGCTGAGTATTTCTGCCTTTTCTAGGAGAGTTCCGCATGCTACAGCAACTTCGACGCGCTACCCCAAGGCTTTTATGGCCAGAACTGGATCGTGGGGGACGTCTTCATGAGACTCTATTTCTCCGTCTTCGACCGAGAAAATAACAGGATTGGCCTGGCGCCCGCAGCAAAAATCTAGGCTCCTCCACGAGCCCACCGCAATCAGGCGCACAGACATGCATGGCAGAAACCTCCCGACCCAGGGGAGCAGACTTGGATGAGGATCAGCGATGGACAAAAACCCAATCTCCTGGGAGATGAAATGACTTTATTTTTAATGGTGATAATAGGGTGCTATGATTGGCTCTTCTAGGTCAGGTGACCTCCCCTGTGATCAGCGGGGGATTGGCCGTTTCCTTCCAATCAAGAGGCTGGAAGCTGGGGAGGGCCGCCCCCCCAAAGAAAAGGGAGGGCGAGTTCTAGACCAAAGAAGGAGTTTGTGACCACTTCACTGATTATGCCGCCCTCCATTCAGAGGGTGGTGCTATGGATTGAATGGTATCCCCCGAAACCCCACCCCCAAAAAATCTGTGGATGTAATCCCATTTGGTAATAAGACTTTCTTTCTTATGTTAATAAGGTCAAATCAGTGTAGGAAGTGTCAAACCTAATGACACTAGAAAGCTAAGGCAAGAACTTCCCATGCCCCCTTTCCTCCCACAGGCCCCCCCCCCCCCCCCCAGTAGACAGAGACAGCATTGTCTGGGAGTCTGGATTCTGACTTCCAGCCTCCTAAATGATGAGAAAATAAATTTCTGTTCTTTGAAACCACCTACCTGTGGTTTGTCTTTTTTCCGCAGCACTAGATAATCAAGACAGATTTAAATAACGGTGGTGGTAGTGGCGGTGGTGGTTTTGTGCCTTGGAGTCAGTTCCGACTCACAGAGACAAAAAGAGAATCTATTCTTCTCATTGTCAAAGGATGTCCTGCTCAAACTGGGATGGGTCCACCCTGGCTCCCAAACAAAGGACTCTCCAGCCACCAATCTCTGTCACCTGCACCTGCAAAGGCCTTCCAGTTCTGTTCCCGAATGACAGGCCCATGTGGACCCCTGAGCCATCCCCATCTTTCAAATGCCCAACGTGACCATTCCTATGGCCTCAAACACAGTCTTGGGAAGGCAGTCTCTTAGACAAGGCAGATCCAGAGTGGACAAAGCCTTCATCCTTCCAGAACATGCCATGAATCCCTCAGAACGTCCTCCTGGGGTTAAGCTCTGAAGCCATTTGAGAGTTTGGGAAGTTTGGAGAACAACAAACATTCATTGCTATTTAACCGATTCTGACTCACAGCAACCGCCATGTTGCGGAGTAGAACTACTCCGTAAGGTTTTCTTGACTGTTGTTTTCAGGAAAGCACATCACCAGCTAGGCCTTATCTTCTGTGATACTTCTGGGTGTGTTTGAACCACCAACCTTTAGGTCGGCAATCAACTAACTGCAAACTGTTTGCGCTACTCAGCCAGGGATCTCAAATGACAAATATCATAAGGAGACTCAAGTGACCAGCTTGTTTGCAGAGCCCATTTGGCCAGGTCTTCATGGAACCCTAAGTATTGTCTCTCTTGGTTAGAATCCGCCAGCAATGAATAAGAATAACTCCAATGAGCTTATTGGGAACTTTGTGTATGTTCTCATTGTCTCCAAAACAGGTAACGTTGACAATGTACAGATGAGGGAGATCTACTTGGATCTGTCTGGCTCTAGACATATACCAGTTGTCACGGTGTGAACTCCAACTCACAACACCTCCATGAGTGTCAGAGGAGAACTGTACTCCACAGGGTGTCCAACGCAGGAGCTATATTGATTGGGTATCAAGCCCAGGTCTCCTGCATGGGAGAATAAGAACTGGAATTAAATGGATTCATCTATATTTATAGCATCACAGCTATGACTTGTTATTGTCAGGTGTCATCGAGTCGGAACCGACTCATAGCGACCCCATGCACAGCAGAACGAAACAATGTCCGATCCTGGGCCAACCTCACTACCACTGCCACACTTGAGTCCATCAATGATGCCACCTGGCTGATCCATCTCGTTGGGGGTCTTCCTCTTTTTCTCTGACCCTCCACCTTACCCAGCATGCCATCCTTCTCCAGCGACTGTTTCCTCTGGACAATATGTCCAAAGTAGGAAAGACGAAGCTTAGCCATCCTGGCCTCCAAGGAGCACTCTGGTTGCACTTCATCCCAAACAGATCTATTGGTTCTTTTGGCAGTCCATGGTACTTTCAGTATTCTCCTCCAACGCCATAACTCAAAGGCATCAATTTTTCCACGATCTTCCTTATTCACTGTCCAGCTTTCGCATCCATACGAGGCTATTTAAAAACAGCTATGACTAGACATAAGCTAAAAAATCAGCCCCATTGCCAATTAAGTCGATTCCAACTCAGAGTAACCGTCTAGAGGGTTCCCCAGGTGATACATCTTTATAGATGCAGAAGGGTTCCTCTTTCTCTCATGGAGTAACTAGTAGGTTTCAACTGCTGACCTTGTGGGTAGCAATACAGTGCTTATCCTACAGTGCCACCAGGGTTCTTTATAATGGTGGTGTGCTGTGAAGTTGGTTCCAACTCTCAGCGACCCTGCATAGGGTTTCCGAAGCTGTAAATCTTTACGGAAGCAGAAAGCCTCATCTTTCTCCTGTGGAACAGCTGATAGTTTCAAACTGCTGACCCTGGACAGGTTGTCGTGTGCCATGGAGTTGGTTCAGAGCGACTCTATAGGGTTTCCAAGGAGCAGCTGGTTAGTTTGAACCACCAACCTTGTAGTTCAAAGCAACCTTGAGGTCCAGTGCTTTAACCCACAGTGCCACACAGTAGCTATATTAATACATCTTCTTATAGTTCCCTTAGTTTACTCAATAGCTGCTTTTAAAAGCAGGGGAAAAGCAAAACATTATTTTAAGAGAGACAAAGAAATAGCCAATGGAGAGGAACCATATCTTTGCTGGGGTTGCCTGGGTTACTGCTGAAGCCATTTGTTTCCTGTAGAAAAGGCATCTCCAAGCAGACCGTCCTGGAGTCCTGGTGTGGTGATGTGCGTTAATGAGCTGGACTGCAAAGTTGATTTGAACTGTAAGATCAGCGGTTCATGCTCACCAGCCACTCCTTGGAAACCCTATACAGGGCCTCTATGGATCGGAACTGATTCAACGGCACTTAATAACAAAGCAGACCATCCGCTAAAGGCTGACCCCTGGTGGCCAAGGGCGATATCACACTGTTTGAGGTGATGGAAGAATTTTGTTGTGCTGCTATAGGCTAACCCCTGGACCACAAGGTGGGTTTGAACCCCAAGGCCAGTGGTTTAAAAGCATCAGTCGCTCCTCAGAAAACCTACACAGACTCGCTATGAGTCAGAACTGACTTGCCAGCACCCTAACAGCAGCAACACATTTAGCCTGGTGAGGCACTGTAGGATAAGCACTCAAATGCAAGGTTGATTTTAACTGCAAGATCAGCAGTTCAAATCCAGCAGCTGCTCCTCAGAAACCCTATACAGTGTCGCTATGAATCAGAACCGAAACAACAGGAATTTAGCAATAGGGAACATGTTGGCTCCACATAAGAAGTACTGGAGTGTGAACCACAAAGTCCATGGTTCAAGCCCACTAGCCTGTGTGCAGGGGGGGGCGGGGGGGGGAAGATGAAGCTTTCTACTTCTGCAAATATTTAAAGCCTTGGAAGCCTACATGGGGTCTCTGTGAGCCCTAACAAACACAACAGCACTTAACAACAACAATTTAGCAATATGAAACCACTGTTACGTAATTTCCCTTTAGACCCGATCGCTCCACATTGGCACAGTAGCGTGGATATAGGTATTCTGGTGGAGTTGAGTAGAATAACACCTATACTGATGTTAGGAGGCAGGGTTCTCATTGAGGACAGAGGAAGATATAAATATGAATGAGGAACAAGAAAGAACATGTGGTGTTGAATTGAAATCCCAGGTATCAGTATCTTCCAGCACACCTAGAGGGCAAAGCGTGACTTCTATGACCCTTTCCCACTGAAACCAGGACTCGAAGAAACGACTGCTCCCAAGACTCCAACAGAGGAAATACAAAATGAGCCCGTAGTGTCTTATTGCAAAAGATAATAAAGAAGTTGTTTCTAAAATGTTGGGACATGTCAGAAGAATACAGGATCCATGGAGAAAGAATAGTTTCTTAAACAAATTCTTGAAACTAGATACCCACAGGCCACTGAAGGAAGCTGGATTCCTGTAAGGGTACCTTATTGATTGAGTCTGTTCCAGCTCATGGCGACCCCATGTGCACGATTAGAACAGTGCTCCACAAGATTTTCAGTGGCTGACTTTTCAGAAGTAGATCTCCATTCCTTTCTTCCAAGGTGCCTCTGGATGAATTTGAAACTCTAATTGTGTGGTTATCAGCTGAGTGGTTGGCCGTTTGCACCATCCAGGGACTATATATGAAAAATTAACTTAAAATGGATTAAAGAGCTAAAACTATAAAACTTTTAGAAAAAAAAATGAAGGAAAACTGCCATGGTCTTGGATTTGGCAATGATTTCTTAAATACGATGCCAAAAACACAGGCAACGAATGGAAAAGCACATAGATTGGACATCATCTAAATTAAAAACTTTTGCATTTAATCACACTATCAAGAGAGTAAAAAGTAAAGCACAGAATAGGAGGAGATATTTTTTAAATTATACATATGATAAGGATTGAATATCTGAAGCACATAAAGAACTTTTACAAGTCAACAATCAGACAACAGTCCAATATAAAAATGGGCAAAGGATTTGAGTAGACGTTTCTACAAAGAAGATCTGAACTGGCTAATAAGCACGCAAAAAGATGTTCAACATTAATAGTTGTTGTTGTTAAGACCCATAGAGTCAGTTCTGATGCACAGCAACCAAAGACCTGCTGATGAGTTTGAATTGCTGAACTTATGGTTCAAAGCAACCTTGTAGTCCAGTGTTTTACCCCACAGCAACCAGGACTACAAATCAAAATCACAATGAGATACCATTTCCCATCGACCAAGAACGAAATGGAATGCATAAACACCGATATACTAGGCATTAGTGAGCTAAAATGGACTTGTATTGGCCGTGTTGACTCTGACAGTCACATGGTTTACCATGCAGGG